AGTGTGCAATAGCACGATGAGATAGGAATGTGATTTCAAGCCTGTGGCAAGCATGTACATGGCTTTTGCAAGATAGGAGTGGTCGTTCGAGTGCACTATTGATGTTAGCACCCAAGTGAGTAAAGTAACTCTGCTCACAAAGGGTGAGGAGATTGAGGAACCCTGAAGATGAGATCGTGCCATTGTCGCACTCCAATGATCAATATCGAATGGGTAGCATGCTATGCAGGTGATTACGCTATGACATATAGGCATCTCAACCTTAGATAGCAATAATGCTTCATAATGGGGCATCATACATTTGCATGGGCGTAATACGCATCCCCCTTTCCCCCAACCATGAATATAAGGCTGGACCTGTTTCGTTGCATACAGTGACAATAGATGATGTACTATGAACATGTGATATTACGCGCATGATTCACCACGTTGTTTCCATGGCAGTGTGCTCAAGGAGCGGCTGTTAACAGCGTCCATGTGGCGGCTTACATTGTCAGAATCCCAACCACTAGACCATTGGGATAAAAGGGCTTGATAAGTAGCGGGGTCAGTGCGTCCATAACCCCCTAGGCCAACGTGCCTGTAACCCTTCCCTAGGATCAATCGGGGATCTCAGTGGACCTCTGACATACATGTGACAACCTGGTTTGTAAGACGTTTGAAAAATGGACTCATCGTGATCTCGCACACCAAGTGCCTCAGTGACACTCTCCGTTTAGGTACGCAACTTGATTTGAGCGGATGTTAAACATCTGATCGGGAGGATGATCAATTACCATTCCGGTTTCAAATATCCAAATTGGCGACTTGTCTCCTTAACGGAATGTAGATATGGAGTCGTACCATTGAGCATGTATCCACGCATGCTGCTCGAGAGCCCAATATGACAACAAGAACCTTGGTGACGATTCCGCCGCTAGGCCCGTGCCCACTATAAGAATGTGCCGAAATGCAACCTTTTGCACAGTTATAGGTTGCCAAACATCAGCAATCTCAACGTAGAAGCGTCGTTGTATGATTGACAATATAGTAATGGTGAATTAAACGTGTCCCCACATTTCCGTGACTGCCGTTACCGCATTTGCAATTGTTAAAATAGGGTAGGAACACAAGTAATTGACCACAACAAGTATGTTGGCCAAGCTGTGCGCGACTGCAACATAGCTATGGAAAAACCTTCATTTTTCTGAACAATTGGTCTCACTCACTCGACCAACAACTTAGAAACTTGATTACGATCGCGACAAAAAAACTGCGTAGTGCCAAATGATTGGTACAACCATGATGTTTTAGCCACATCAGTGCAAAACACATAACTATCAAAGTACACATAGTGGCAAAGCCATAGAGGTCAAGGTTATATGTTGATCGTAATCAATGTGCAAAGCACTTTCATAGATCTATCTAGAAATATGGCTGAGCTAGCCAGCATCCGGGAAAAGGAGCATGTAAACACGCGATACTCATATGTCCCAGAAGGACATCACCAGAGGCCTGGGGAGAACCTCTACGGTGGTTGATATAGGTTCCTCAGAGCCATATAGGGCAAATTAGAGCTGGACAGGGCTCTATCGGCCGACCGTGTTTTTTTTTTTTTGTTTTTTTTTTTTTTTTCAGTCAAGTGAATCTCACCGAATGAGCGTAAACGCAAATACGAGCGGCAATTATTGACAACTTTTTCGTGCAAGTGCACGTTTGTCAAGGAGCACAACATGCGGAAACTTCATTTCAAACAGAAATATACCGTATCTCAACATTTGTGTGGATAATTTAAAGCTTGATAAAATGCTCAGCTCAACACCCTATGAAGGGGAAGGGGCGTATCACAAAACGTAGCCCTAGCAAATGGCCAAATACCAAGCTTTTAATTCCAATGAACATTGATTTATGCATAGAATCGTATGCGTTGCATAACCTCTTGTAACATTATATTCGACAATCATGCCAGTTTTCTTGATCTCTCCCTTGGATAGGGTCATAATTTCAAGGCCATAATATTTTGATATCATAATCTTCATAGGCCCGTGGCCTTAATACGGCCATCGCAGGGCCTGAGCCAAAAAGTTTATAAATGGTACTTCTGCTGGGGCGAAATCGTTTTGGGAACCCTAAACCCTCCAACGGCCCTGCCAAATGTATACTGCCGCTTTAATCGGCCAGAAATGGAAAAATATCATGATCTTAATCGGCCTCGTGTCACCACAATTTCTGTCTTGTCACCAATAGCGATATTGTGCTTAGTGCAGCACCAGCAGCAGAAGCAGCTCGAAATTTCACTGCTGTCCCCACCAGCCACTGCAGCACCACTAGTGGCGATCTAGATAGTACCCGCAGCAGAATCGCACGACAGTAGCAGCAGATCGCGCTGCACCACCAGCAGATATCGCAGCAGCAGCAGCGGATTTTGAGCACCAGCAGCAAATCTCGAGGGAAAGGCAGCTGATCTCGCAGCAGGAGCAGATCGCGCAGCTACACCAGCAGATCTCGCGCGCCAGCAGCAAAATCTAGCGCGTCAGCAGCAGAATCTCGCGCGCCTGGAGCAAATCTCGAGCGCCAGCAGCAAACCTCCGCGCCAGCAGCAGATCTCCGCGCCAGCAGCAAATCTCGCACGCCAGTAGCAGAATCTAGCGTTCCAGCAGCAGAAATTCGCGCGCTAGGAGCAAATCTCGGGCTCCAGCAGCAAAACCTCCAGCAGCATATCTCCGCGTCAGCAGGAAATCTCGCGTGCAAGCAGCGATTCGCGAGCGCCAGCAGCAATCATGAGCACCAGCAGCAAATCTCGAAGCTGCAGCAGCAAATCGTGAGCACCAGCAGCAAATCTCGAAGCTGCAGCAGCAAATCGTGAGCACCAGCAGCAAATCTCGAGGCTGCAGCAGCAAATCGTGAGCCAAAGCAGCAAATCTCGAGGCTGCAGCAGCAAATCGTGAGCAAAGCAGCAGATCGCGAGCACCGGCAGCAGATTTCGTAACAGGAGAAGATCGCGAAGCACCGACCTCAGATCGCGCAGCGACAGTACCAGATCTCGTAGCGGCAGCTACCCAGATCGCCGTGGGAGGAACGGCAGGCCGCACGTCAACACTAATGACTAGTGCTGTGAGAAGCAGCGGTTGCATAGCATCAGCAATAGCAGGGTCTCGTAACATCAGCAGCAGCCCCAAGGCGCAGACAGCAATAGCATGCCGAAATCTCGCCATTCGCACCAGCGTCTCACTACTAACATAATTCGCGAATTTGCCCTGCCACAAGTACTGTAAACTCGCCCACCGCATCAACCTCAAGAAGTGACGATCTCGTCATGTGGAGTGAAACGAGGGTCAGGATAATCTTAGTAGCAATGGCGGATGCGTAGTAGTAAAGGGTGCAAGGTTTAGGTAGGTGTGCTGTTCTAAACTAGATCTATAAATGATTTTTGGACTAGGTGGCAGGTCCGTAAACCTGCCACAATATAAGGAGCGATAGACTCCTTACTGCATTCTCCTTTACGTGTATTGTCATAAATCTTTAAAATTTGAAATTTATTTCATAATTTTTCATGTCTGTGCACGTGTGTCTCTTCTTGCAGCTCCGACTTAACAGTGGGCGAGTGCCTCAGTGTCAGCAAGTAGCAAAGGACCAGGTCGTCTACGTACACGAGAACGTAGAACGGCGGCAGAGTGGTGTCCGATGCGTAGAAACAGCGACGGTTCAGCAGTAGAAGGAGCAAACCCAAGAGCAGCAAGAGTAGTCCTCAGTGTGTCGTGCCACTCACGGGGTGCCTGGCGGAGACCGTAGACTGGCCGCCGGAGGCTCCACTGGGTACCAGGAGGAAACGACCCAGTGAAGCCAGGTGTGGGCGGCGCAGCCAGATCTCCTCGTGCAGGCTGCCCTGTAGGAAAGCAGTGCTGAAGTCAAGAGAGTGGAGCTCGTAGTCACGCTGAGCGGCGACGTGCAGCAGAACCCGAAGAGTGGTCATCTTCGGGGTCGGGGAGAAGGTCTGGAAGAAGTCAACTCCCTCACGCTGACTGAAGCCTCGTGCAACGTAACGCGCCTTGAAGACAGGCGGAGAACCCGGCGGGCCGCTTCACCCTGAAAATCCACGTGCCACTGACGATGTTCGCCCCAGGTGGGGGAACCTCGTCGACGTAGGTGCCTGTGGACTTCCAGGAAGCCATCTCTACGTCCATGGCCGACTGCCACTGAGAGGAGTAGGGACCCTCTATCGCCTCTGCGTAAGAGCGCGGGATCGGGATGTCTGGTGCATCCGGGTCTCCCTCAGGGGCAATCAGCATGGACACGAGATGAGGTAAAGCAGCGGCAAAGCACTCAAACTCCTCCTGTCTGTCCTCAAGGACGTCCCGTGCCTAGAGCACACTCACCCCCGACGGACGGAGGACAGACAGACTCAGACTCAGACTCTGCAACAAGGCTAGCGGCGTAGTCTAGACGACAGGCGGCAGCAAAGTCAACAAGCTCAGCAACTAGAGCAGACGCAGCAGCGGACTCAAAGGAAGGGTCAGTGACAACAGTAGCGAGGAAACGTGTGACAGTAGGACTGGCAGCACGAAGAGAGTCAGACTCCGGGTCCAGACCGTCAGGAAGAGAAGACGCAGGAGGTGACGGCAGAGGGACATGCTGTGGAGCAGTGGAAGGACGCAGAGTCATATAGTGAGTGCCAGGGACAGGAGGAGGACGCTCACGCGGAACACGACGACCAGCGCGGACAGCTCGGACAGGTGACCCAGGACGAGACTCAGGCGACGCTGGACGAGACTCAGGCTCACGACGCTCCGTAAGACCTCTAGTCGGCCCAGCGTAAGGAGAAGGACCAGGCAGCGGAGAAGCAAGCTGAAACTGTGACTGCGACTGGACAGGCGGTGGACTCAGTAGGGGAGGAGTAGGACCAGTAGAGGGCGGGAGGCCAAGAACCTGCTGAAGGAGCGGAACGTAGTACGGCCGCGGCCTCGCAGCACCTCCTGAACCAGCAGAGACAGCACCAGCACCCTCAGCCCCAGGGTCTCCAACTACAACTCCCGCAGCACCACCAGCAGCTCCAGCACCTCCAGCACCTCCAGCTCCAACTCCCGCAGCAGCTCCAGTCCCAGCAGCTCCAGTACCTCCAGTACCTCCAGTACGAGCACCTCCAGGACCAGCGGCTCTAGCAGCTCCAGAACCAGCAGCACCTCCAGCAGCTCCAGCACCAGCAGCACCTCCAGCAGCTCCAGCACCAGCAGCAGCTCCAGCAGCACCAGCACCAGCAGCACCTCCAGCAGCACCAGCACCAGCAGCACCTCCAGCAGCACCAGCACCAACAGCACCTCCAGCAGCACCACCAGCAGCTCAGCAACCAGCAGCACCTCCAGCAGCTCCAGCACCAGCAGCACCTCCAGCAGCTCCAGCACCAGCAGCACCTCCAGCAGTAGGCCCCCCAGCTCCAGCAGCACGGCTACAGCGCGAGCGTACCACTCACGAAGCTGCCGTGGAGACCCCTCAGGGTCCAGCACGAAGACCCCTCAGGGTCCAGCACCCCCCAGGCTCAGCACCCCCAGGCCTCAGCACCCCCAGACTCAGCAACCCCAGGCTCAGCACCCCCAGGCTCAGCACCCCCAGACCCGGCACCCTCAGGCTCAGCACCCCTAGCAGCACCAGAGTCAACAGCTACCTCAACAGGCTCGACTGCGTCTACCTGAGACACACCTGAGGGGGCAGGACCCTGAGGGGGGAGGGGGTCTACCGGAGGAGGACCCTGGCGCGAGGAAGAGCGGCGGGGGGGGGGAGGGGGGCAGTGCGGTAGGGGAAGAGACGGTAGTAAGGAACCGACTCGTCAAACGTGAACGTCCTGAGAGGACAGAACACGGCGCGAGGGTGGGGTCGTAAAACTGCCAACCAGGCGCGTCAGGGGGGAAGCAAAGGAAGACGCAGGGAACGGCACGGGAGGACAGCTTGTCCGCAGACAAGTCGCGGACAAAAGCTCGAGATCCCCAGACACGGAACACCGACGCATCGCCAACCTTCCCCGTCCACCGCAGAGTGGGGGTGGTTCTCCGGCATGGAGACCCGGGGCTGGAGGTTGATCTGATGCGCCGCGTACTGAACCGCGAACGGCCACAGAAAATGGGGAGCAGCCGCATGGATCATGGACGTACGAGCGACATCCATGACCATGCCAATGCGGCGCTCAGCAATCCCATTTTGCTGTGAGAGGCCGGGAAGCGTGAACGTCTGGCGGATGCCCTCCGCCCGACAGAAGGCCCGCAGAAGGTCAGAGGAAAAACTCTCCACCTCTGTCTGAGTGCAGACGCACAACAGGAAAGTCCGAGCCGAAACTCTCTCTGAGCTGGAGACGAGCAGCGCGGATCCAGTCGATCAACACCTCAGTGACCTCACCCTTGCGGCGCAAGGGGAAGACCGTGGTGTAACGCGAGTAGTCTTCAACAACCAGCAGGAAGTAACGCTCGTGACCCTGTCCACGGACGCGGGCTGGGCCCCACCACGTCCATGTGAAGAGTCTGCAGGGGAGCCTCTGTGGGGGGAAACTCGGAGGAGTGAGGAGCGGCGCGCTGCCGGCCCTCGACGCAGGGAACGCAGGTAGGGGCAGGCCCCGGAGGAAGAGGTGGGAGGGACTCAGGAAGACCTGAGACCAGGACACGGGAGGCCATGCCTCGAAGACGAGGCAGGGAGGGGTGACCAAGGCGGTGGTGCCAAAGGAGAGTCTCGTGGGCCAGGAGGCGACACGAGCAGGGGGCAGACTCAGGGCCAGACCGGGACGCTGCAGCAAACACCTGACCCGACGCGGCTACCTGACTAGGAGGAGACGCAGTGGTAAGGGTGTACAGGCTGGACCCTGGCCTACGGGTGAACGTGGCCAGGTGACGGGCCTGTCCGAGCACAACGTGCAGTGCGTCACACGCTGGTAGGCAGGGGTGAACTGGTGAACACCCCCATCCTGAAGATCAGCACCCGTCACCAAGTTCGTAGAGAACGAGGGGAGGTGAAGACCAGACAGCGAGCCGGACGGAGCAGCAGGACATGGGAGGACAGTGGAGGAACGGGCCACAACTGGTTCCCCAGAGGGGTCAGCCAGAGAGACTGCCACCGGCCGACTGAGCGGCGAGAGTGTGGTGCAGTCGCGAAAGAAGGAACGGGAAGCACCCGAGTCAAGGGTGAAAGTGTGCAAGACCTGAGTCGACGCGGGTACCTGAGAGAGCAGCCTCACCAGCACCTGGAGCAGCAGACTCACTAGCACCTAGAGCAGCAGCCTCAATGCCCGGGTCGGACGGAACACACAGGTAACAGTCACCCTCAGCACTAATAGACACAGCATCATAATCAAGATCAAAGATAGCAACCCCCGACTTAAGCAGAATATCCCAGCGAGGGATCTCAGCGGAGCCAGGGAACTGAGTACGCCAGGCGTCAGTCAGGCGGCCGAAGCAGCGTGGTGTGGTGTGCGGGCCTCCGCACGTCTCTCCACTGCGGTCGCCGGTGCGAAGAACGTAGGTGCAGGGACCAGCACCCCCAGACCTCCCACGCCCAGCGTACCACTCACGAAGCTGCTGAGGCGATGGGGTCTCACGGGAGCGCTGCTACTTGCTGGCGCTGGCCACTGCTAGAGCCTCCCCGCTTCCCACCACCACCCCCGCCACCCCCACCTCCTCCGCCGCCGCCGCCACCATCCACCCCCACTCCCGCTGCCTCCGCCGCCTCCACCTCCACCGCTGCCCACCGAAGCCCCCACTCACGCCACCACTCCCACCTCCACCCCCACCCCCTCCGCCTCCTCCACCGCCACTACCCGCCGCCCCCGCCATCCCCTCCACCCCCCTTGCCCTTGCTGTTGCGGCGCCTGCCACTAGGAGCAGACGCAGCGCCGACCGACTCGGTGCCAACGAGGTCGACAGCAGCAGCAGAGGCAACAGAGGGCAAAAGAGGGACGGGGGAGCACCCCTCAAAGAAAGGGGCACGAGGGTCACCACGAGAGGCTCCTACAGCGACTATACTCTTCTCAGCTGCAAGGAGGCGCTCCTCGAGGAGGTCAACGGTGAGCGTGGTGGGGCAAAGGGAGAGGAAGTGGTCCCTGACCGAGCAAAGGGAGTCAGGGAGCCGGGTGACGAGGTAGTAGAGAGTGATGTACATAGGGGGGGGGTTCTTGGCGTAGAACTCGGCAGGAAGCGCAGCGCGGTAGCGGGTGTCACTAGTGCGGAGGTGCGTAATGAGGTCAGCGACCTGTGGCAAAAGCGGCTAGGTCAGGGAACAGGTACGGCAGCATGAGGCGGCTAAGGGCAGCAGTGGCAGGGGAGGAGTAGCGCGCAACAACAGCAGTGTACAGAGTGCTAGCAGACTTGTACTGGCTAAAGTGCGCACGCTCAGCCAGACGGCAGGTGACTACGGACAGCAAGACGGGCAGCAGCATCGCGCGCGGTCCACTGTGAGCGAACAGTACTGGCAGCATCAGCAGCAGGTGCAGCAGAGGCGCCAGAAGTGAGATCAAACAATGAGACTCCATCCTTGCTATCGCACTGCAGGAACAGCTGCAAATCATCTACCCAGACCTCAAAATCGACCGCTCGACCCTTAGCATCGAAGGTGAGTACATTAGGGTTTGCCATAGCAGCAGGAGCAGCAGCTGTGGCCTAGCGGCAGCAGTAGCAGTAGCAGCGCGACTCGGCAGAGCGGGCGGTTCGGTAGGGCGGCGCGGTTCGGTAGGGCGGCTCGGCTAGGCAGGGCGGCGCGGGTGCGGCGGTGCACTTACCAGTGGCGGAAGTGGTGGGGCCGCTACTGGTGGGGCTGGGCCGGGGCGCGTCGGCAGAGCAGGGGGCCGCCAGAAGGAGGGGCCGTGGCGAGGCGGCAGGGCAGGGCCGGGACAGGCGCGTCGGCAGGGGCGGCTTGCAGGCTCGGCAGCGGCAGCAGGGCCGCTACGGTGGCAGCTGCTGCTGCAGTAGGGACGGCAGCTGCTGCAGGGGACGGCGACGACGGGGCGGCAGAGCCGCTACGGCGGCAACAGGGGCGAAGGCAGCTGCTGCAGGGGCGGCGACGACGGGGCGGCAGAGCCGCGAAGGGCCGCGAAGGGGGGCCGCGAAGGGCCGCGAAGGGGCCGCGAAGGGCCGCGAAGGGCCGTGAGGGGGCTGCGAAGAGCCGCGAAGGGGCCGCGAAGGGCCGTGAGGGGGCCGCGAAGGGCCGCGAAGGGGCCGCGAAGGGCCGTGAGGGGGCCGCGAAGGGCCGCGAAGGGGCCGCGAAGGGCCGCAAGAGGGGCCCGCGAAGGGCCGAGAAGGAGCCGCGAAGGGGCCGTAAGGGGCGCGACGGGCCGCTAAGGGCAGAGCACGCGACGGGAGGGCAGGCGCAAGGGGCGCAACTAAGGCAGGAGCGAAGCGCGCTTCGGGCAGGTAAGGAAAAAAAAATTCGTAGTGGTGGGCCCTAAAAAAAAAACCGGTCCCACTAGGGAACTCGCTCTATACCATGTGAGAGAAGTACGAGGAATGAAATGACTAGAAATGAGTTGGGTACAAATAGGGAAACCTAGAAATGTAGTACCCCCTATTGTCCTACCCACTATAGCCTAAACATGCTATAACATAAGTTTGACATCTCGGGGTCGGTGCTGAGGTCGACCCCGCAATCCATGAGCTGCACCGCCGAGAGGAGATTAAAACGCAGGTTCTGCACGATCAGCACGTCGTTCAAACGTGATGTGCGTTCTGCTCCCATGGGCTGAGAGTACTACAATGCCTTGCGCGCTTGCGCGCAGGTGCGTGTTGTTCGCCACGGTGACATAGGTGACGGCGGGGGTGGCGACGGCGTTGGATATGTAACGCTCGGAGCCCACCATGTGCTGCCCACAGGATGGATGGTGTGGTGGTGTGGATGGATGGATGGTGTGGTGTCATTTGCAAGAAAATGAACGGCCTACAGGATATACCGGCCTAGGGGTTACCGAACTGGTGAGTGCTTGACTTGTTATACTGGCAGCAATACTATACCGTACGAGTTCTTTGAAGACATGGGCAGAACAAGTAATACCGTAACAATGTTGTGATGAATGCACATGTGTAAATGTGAACACAGGGCTGACGATTCAAATATGGCTACCCTGTTTTCAATCGCGCAATTTTTTTTTTACCCTGAAGGCACATTTGTCAGAATATTATGCCCGCCGTGCGCCCCGAGGCGCGCGGCGGTTTTCTGCCCGCCGTGCGCCCCGAGGCGCGCGGCGGTTTTCTGCCCGCCGTGCGCCCCGAGGCGCGCGACGGGTTTCTGCCCCGTCACTCGCCGCGTCGCCCCCGGGAGGCGCTGCGACGGGCGACGGGGACCCGCACGTCGCACCGTCGCGCGGCCCCTGCAGCCCCGTCGCGCCGCCCAGGGGAGCCGCGCGCGGCCCCTGCTGCCCCGTCGCGCGGCCCTGCTGCCCCGTCGCGCTGCCCAGGGGAGCCTTGCGCGGCCCCTGCTGCCCCGCCCCGTCCCGGACCTGCCCCGGCCCCGACCTGCCCCGGGCGGCCCCCCCCAGGGCGCCGCGACGGGCGACGGGAGGGGAGTCTACAGGGGGCCGCGCGTTGCCCCCCCCCCCCTACCTCCCTACCCTGTTTTTAGGGTTTGGGGGGGTGGCGGTTGGGGGGTGGCGGTTGGGGGAGTGGCGGGTGTGTGGCGTCGCCTGCTCCTCCTCCTCCTTCGTCTCCCACTGCTGCAGCTGTCGCTGAGGGGGGTGGATGTGTGGGAGTGTACGGAGTGGTGCTAGGGGGGTGGAGTGTGAGTAGAGCTAGGGTTTGAACAGGGGGTGTGTGAAATGGGGGTGGGACAGTTGGGGGAGGTTGAATGGAGGCGGTCGTCGTGTCGTCAGCAGCAGCAGCAGTCCGGAGGCTACAATCTCCGGTAGTCGCCAGTCGCCCGTGGGTCCGTTGCTCGTCTGCCGCTACTTTTAGCCGCGGGGCCAGTTACCCCAGTAGTCCGGAGCGCTGTTCCGGTAGCCACTGAGCCAGCAGCTCGTCTGTGTGTCTGCAGCGTCAGCAGTCGCCTCCCATCTTCTCTCCCCCACTGTCTCTCCTCCTCCTCACTTGCCCTCTGTGATAGCCTCTAGCTTTGCTTACATTTGTTAACTATAAAACTGCTACCTCTTGTACTTGTGCTCAGAATGTGTGGTGACATTGTGATCCACCCTGAGCTTGTTTTCTTTTGCTTGCTCTGCTGATTACACCCCACTTTGGCTATGGGGGTGTGTCAGAATATTATGCTCTAGCCTGTAGTGGGGTGCTCTATAGCGAGTACAACTCTTCTAGGGTTTTGCTATTTGTATCCCCATTCTTGCTAGTGCAACCTCCTTCTTCTTTTTAAACTTTCACAACATTTTCCGCAAAACGCCAAGCTTGAGCCTTCTTGCGATGTTCAGGGTTCACGAAATTGTATGTCTGAACTGTCAGGGTTGGCGAATTGAAATCAGGGTTGATTTTTTTCTTCTTCTTTCCAGTTTGGCGAGAAAAACAGTGACGTGTTTGACGCGAGAAATCTAGTTGGATTGGGCTGGATTGGCTGGAGGGAGTGCATGTGGCGTGGGAGGATCTCCTAGGAGCGCAAGGGGCGAGAGCCAGGGGTGTGCAAAAGGGGAGGGACCAAGTGAGTGGGTTGGGTGGGGTCGTGACTGCGGGTCGTCCGCATAAGAGAAAGGGGAGAAGGGGGGGAGGAAATGGGGGGACGGGCTGCTCATGGGAGGGGTGTCAAGACTCGACCTGGTTTTGGTGGGGGGGGTACGTTTCTCAATATCAGTGTCTCGTTTATTTTCACAAAGTATTCTAACTTACACATGTTTTTTTCGATAGTTAGCGAAAAACAGCTGATTACTAAAAACTATCAGTCACATGGCAATACGGTGTTTCACTACGGATGGTTTTTTTTTCATCTCCTGCCGAATCATTCTGCGATCCGCCAGATCGCGATTTGTTTGCTCGGTTTAAGTTTACAGCTCAACAGAAATCAGAAACCAAATGTTTAGTCATGTTAACAGGTACGTAGTGTACTGCGATAACCTGGATTGCGCGCATGGGGTCCCTGAGATGGGTGGAATCGTAATCATGATTACGCACATGGGGGTTATCAGGACGAAGATTCATGGAAGCTTCATCCCGATAACGTTGCATTCAGGGTCAACAAGACGCATACTCTGTATGGACAGGGTCCTTAAGAACACTACTCTGTGAGTGTATACAAAATTTCAGGGTTCGCTAAAGTACTACTCTGACAGGATCAATGTTCAGAAGTCGTTAAACCTGAAATTAAAGGGACCAGAATGTGACAAGTCTAAAATCACCCTGAAATAAGGGTAATTACCCTGATAAAATCAGCCCTGTGTGAACACTTATACCGTTCAGCTACGTTATTTCTGTTGCGATCAGAAGTTGATCGTGCCTAGGATCACCTCAGGAAGGTTCGCACACAGTTGTGTAGTGGTGGGCCCTTGACCTCAATAGCAGAGTAAATGTAAAATGCTTGAGATAATAAAAACATGCAAATACAGCACTATAAATAAGATTACAAGGGAATACCAATCGACCTAGCTAGCCATGTACTCTAAGGGGTACATGTCAAGAATGAAAGTGTTTTTTTTACTAAGGTTGGTTGGGGTACATAAACATAACCCTAATAGTTGTACCCCCTATAACACACATCACTAAGACTACAACATTTGACACACCCCCATAGTCTAAGTGAGGGGTGTCAAGCAAAACCAAAAGTGTACGGTCACAAGACCAGTCACAAAGAAACAAAGCTCAGGGTGGATCACAACGTCACCACACACTCCGAGCACAAGCAAAAGAGCTACAAGGTCAGTTCAAGAGTTCACAGAGGTATATATAAAGCGTACAAACGAAGCAAGCAGAGAACTCAAGACTACGCAAGGCGAGAACCTGTGTCAACGTGACCTAACTGCACACAACACCTCTGGTGGTTACAAGGCGGAAGCGCCTTGGTGAAGATGTCTGCAGTGTTGGCCTCGGACTCCACAAAGTCGAAGCGAGCCTGTCCACGCCTCTGCAACTCTCGCAGAAGAAAGTACCTGACGTTGATGTGCTTCACTCTGCTCTCCAGTCGCGGCTCTCGAAAGAGGAGAATTGACGCCTTGTTGTCAGTGAACAAGGTCGTGCAGAGCTCGGCCACTCACCAAGGTCGGTGAGCAAGAAGGTCAACCAACGCAGCTCCTGTGCAGCCATGGCTCCAGCGTAGATCTCGGCCTCAGCAGTAGAGGTCGAGACCGAGGAGGAACGCGTGGACCTCCACGAAACAGCTCCAGAGCCCAGGCTGAATCAGTACCCCCGAGTAGACCTGTGAGTCTTGGTGTCGTCGGCGTAAGAAGAGTCACAGTGTCCAGTAAGTACAACAGACTGCTGCCCTCCAAGAACCAGCCCCACGCCTGATGTCGTCGCTAGGTACTTCGCCACCCTCACAGCAGCTGTCCAGTGAACTGGACGGTGTCTCCCTGGCGCAACAAAGCGTGCAAGGATGCTGAGAGGGAAGGCGAGGTCCGGGCGAGTACAAGTCATTAGGTACATGAGGCAGCCCACAAGCTCTGCGTAAGGACCACTAGGCTCAAACGGCTCGTCAGGGAAGGGTCCAGTGAGTCTGTGGT